GGTTGTGGTTGGATGCGCGCTGATCGCACAACGACTGAACGAGAGGGGTAAAGATATTTTCGAGGGAGGTGAAAGTAGACGAATGTGTTTATGGCAATTGGTTGTATGAATGGGCGAATGAATATTTTTATGAATGAAATACTGGCATTTGTATGTAACACGTTGAAGCTGAAATCTTATGAATGAACTGTGAGTGAAGGAGGAGTAGTAGATACATGCATTAGGGTGCATCACTCTCCATATTAAAAAAAAATATATATATTTTAGGCTTTACGTGAGGTAGAGCTATTTGAAAATACCTAAAAAAAATATTTTTATTTTCTGAAAAACAGTTCAGATGATAGAAGAGAGCTTAAGATATCTGCTAAAATATTTTTAAAAATTTTGTCAACGGAATCAAAATTCAAGTCGGTCTGGCCCACGTAAATCTAAATTTTCTCCCGAAATATTTTGGCGGGAATCTTTAAATTTTTTTTTTGTGTTGCACCCTAATGTGCATATGTACCACGCACAAACATATGGTCATATGTACTCAAAACAGATAGCTACATATATCGTAAATCATGCAAAGAATGTGAAGCGCGCTTACAACAACAACAACAAAAACGAGAACAATAAGATCAACAACATTAATGGATATTCAGAAACAACAACAAATAAGCAAAGTTGGCAAGCAGACCAGACAACCATATAAACAACCAACCAAAGTTGGTGTATGACTAAAAAGCAAAGATGGTTTGACAGACTCGCGGACAGACAAGCAAACACACAAACATACATACATATATACAAACAATCCAGCGAAAAGATGAATGAATGTACAATGAATGAATGGATGGATGGCTGGATGGATGGCTGAATGAATGGACGAATGCTGAGCGTCGTTATTTAGACAAGCCTGCAGGCCAATGATGGCATAAAAGCCAAATGCGTACCAGATATGGACAGACAACTGTGCTTTTAATTTGCTCGATATTTTAAATTTTAAACAGCGCATACTTGTGAGTGTGTTGATGCAGGAGATTTAGAGTGTGTGTGTGTGTGTGTGTGTGTGTGTTTGCGCCCGACTGCTCTGCTTGTAGAAAGGATTTTGTTGTTGTTGCTGTTGTGAGTGCTAAATTACGCATGATTTCATTCATTAGGTTATTTTTCTTGGCTGTTTTATAACGCAACAAAAGTAAACAATAGTATGTGGGGAATACGTCATCGCAGGGAAACCGCGGACTAGTGAATAAAATTTCTAGTTCCGTACTAGGTCTTTATCGCCAAAAAGGAACTAGTCCGATAGGATCTAGATCCCCACCAGTCCAAAATCGGCGAAAAGTGGTACTTTTAAAAAACTAATTTCTTCAGTTTTTTTTCACTAGAAATCTATATCTAAAGTGACGAATTTAGAAATGGTTCGGAACTATAGAAAAAGGGATGCAGAACGAACTAGATCTTATTTGTCGAATTTAGAACTAATTCGGAACTATCGAATAAGGGATGCAGCGGGGGGCTTGTTTACTTTGCATAGATATGTGTTCGGCGGCATTTTCGTTCAAATACGCTTTTATTCTGCGCTTCGCAGATGATTTTTCATAGTCTGGTAATACAAAACTAAAATTTATGTCAACATTTCAACATCTTGGGACTGTCTGGAATCTAAGAAATAACAGCGAGCTCCTATGCAAACTCAGCTACAGCTAAAGGTATGTAAACCTACATTTCTTACAATCACTCAAACAAATTTAATTTCAAATTGAAAACACATTTCTTCCAAAATAACTTAAAATCGCACACACAGAAGAACCAAAAAGATTGAAAAATCATGATACTTTTTTCTTTAGTCTGTCGATTTTAGAACTGGTTCGGAACTATAGAATTTAGGACTAGTTTGGAACTATCGAAAAAGGGATGCAGCGGGGGGCAATTGACACTTCCTAGGACATCGCCATGTTAAATTCGCCAGTTGCTTGCATGCAAAAGAGATTGAACGCGAACCAGTACTAGGTCTAAATGTACTAGAAGCGCCCCAGTTCAGAACTAGAAATTTTCCCAACAGGGAATATAAACAGGTCTGTGTGAAAAAAAACAACTTTTTTTCTTTTATTAATCCTCTGTTGCGTAACGAATTTAAAACTCAAACGCATTAAGATAAAATTAAAAAAAAACGGAATAAAATGAAAAAAAATAAATAAATAAAATAAAAAACTAAAATTGCCAAAAATAAAATATTTAAACAAAACAAAATTAAAAGATAATAAAATTAAATAATGCAAAAACAAAAATATTTAAATTATTTAATAGAATTTAAAAAATATTCTAACCAAAAGGCAAAAATTAAGAAATAGTAAAAAATAGCAAGTAAAAAAATACATACATACATAGGTAATATTAAATTTAAAAAATATAATAAGACATATTAAATAAAATTTAATTAATCAAAATTATAAAAAAAACAAATAGAAAATAAATTTAAGCAATATAAAATAAGAATTATAAAAAATACAAAAATATAAAGAACCAAAAATGAAACTGAAATAAAAAATCAAACAAAAATAAAATACAGTTATGTGCAGAATATTAAGACCACCAAGCGAAATTCTGATGGTTAGCTTCGTATTCTCACAACATGACAATAATAAAATTTGAATCATGTAGTGGTTGTAGTCTTTGCTAAATTCAGAATTATTTATAATGTTGATACTTTAAGTTTCCTTATTAAGTACTACAATTTAAACGAAAAGACCTCCACTCCAAATTACCCAAATACTTTGGAAAAACAAAGCAATATATATATATAATATATGAGACCAAAAACTTATATGATTTTATACTGACTTAAACATATTAAAGGTCAACATAGGCATATCAGGAAGGAATAATGTATTAATAGAATATCTTTATAGCAAATAAATTTAAATAAAATTAGTGTAGTTGAATGGTTGATCAAAGATTTTAGTTTTAAGTTGTAGCTTTTACATTTGTAGAATGGGTAATTAGTAATAGCAGTCAATATTCAAAACCTTTTATTGTGTTGTTTATATTTTACACATTACTGTAGAAACAAAAAAAAAAAATTAATTAGACTTTCAGTAAAATAAAATAAAATATACTGGTGTTTTAAACTACCTAATGCACCAACAAATCTATCGTCGCAGCATTGGTAATTCTGAATGTCCAGAGAATAAAAGACTTCATTGGGTTTATCGCATTCTCGACAATGCGCTCGCCAGCGTTTGAAAAAGTAAACAAAAAAATCCAAAATCGAAAATTTCGACAATATTTTTTATTGAAATGTGATAAATTTGGCATTGAATATTAATCAGATGAATTCATAAACTCCTTGGTCAAAGTCAAGGTTTTGTCGTATTTTTTTGATTTAAAAAAATATTTTTTTTTTCAAACCCAACATTTTTATTTTAAATTTTGAAGTTTTTGAGGATGTTTTAAGGTTGTACGTTAACATAATGAGGAGGTGTCTCATGATGTTGATATTTTTAAGAACCATCCTAATATGTATGTATGCATGTACGCACTCAGGAAGTTCTCTTCTCCTCATTTTTGTCAGGTATTTCTGAAGTACTCGTGGCCAGATAGAAGCTGTGTTGTGTAGAAGAGTTTAGTTTTAGCCGCTTTGTATTGCTCTTCGCCGTCGTTGGTTCATTTGTAACCTTCCCGAATATACAGTGACGGTCCAAAATGGATGAATGGTGTTTCGTGTTTAATATTTACAATGTTTTTAAAGGTAATTTTTTTATTTTTTTATGTTTTTTTGATATTTTTATAAAAATATGCTTCATGCTTTAACAAAAACCATAAAAATCACACTTTCAAACTTTATGCAGAATTTAGGAAAAAACCACAAATTTTTATCCAAATTTCGAGCTTTTTAACCAGATTTTTTTTAGTTGTTTTGGGTATGCAGTTAACAGGATTACAAAATTCTAGTAAACTTAGTGCAAGTTTTGAGCGGCTAGAAAGTCGCATTGATTTGTAATATTTTTTTTTTGCTAACGGCTTTTTCGTTTTTTTTTTCATATAAAAAGCGAAATTTAGGAAAAATGGCGTTGAGTTTTTTTTTATTTTTTTTTCGCAAAAGGTCTTGTGCATATTCTTCCACAAAAAATTCATGTTTATATAGAAAAAAGTGCAAAACGTCAACAAAAAAAATATTGAAAATCAATGCGATTTTTTAGCCACTCAAAACTTGCACTAATTTTACTAAAATTTTATATTCCTGTTAACTGCATACCAAAAAAAATTTTACAAATTCTGGTTAAAAACTTGAAAAATATTGTAAATATTAAATACGAAACACCATTCATCCACTTTTGACCGCCACTGTACACACATATGTATGTATTTCTGAAAAATGTTTCAATATCTGCGAAACAATTGTGTAAGCAAATGTTTATAGCCGTTTAATAAAATTCAAAATCATTTTATTAGCGCAGACATTAATCACTTGTTCTACATAACAAATTATAATTTATGGCAGTTCCCTTTACGATTAATTGCATTTACATGGCTGTGAACACGTTTTTTTTTTGGTTTTTGTTACATACTTAGTTGTGCAAAGACTCGTACTTTTATAAAGCAGTTGTGCTTTTTTATACAAAAAAAAAATACATCTTAAAATAATTTGCATTTGCGCAATTGAAGCTTTTCCATTTAATTCATAATTTTACGTAGGTATTTTTCTGATGCATATTTGGCATTTTTAATGAGGACAACATTTATTTTGAAATGGGAAAACATTTTAGATAGCCAAATTAGTAATTTTCTAAGCTATAATTATAACGAATGACAGTGAATGTGCAGCAAATTATAGAAATTCATGATTGCAAGTGGGTTGCGTGGGCTCAACTGGTTTGAACTGAGACAAAATTAGCTTGGCGGTCAAAATTAGATGCATAAATATGTAGTGAATCAGAAATTCAAATGCAATTCACTTAAATATATTTTCACTACAAAATACTCTAATTTTAAACTCGCTCCCTTTTCACTCCTTTCAGGACTCCGAGGACGATCTACCGATTTGTGCTCCCAATGCTGTCTGCTCAAAAATCGATTTGTACGAAACACCTTGGATCGAGCGTCAATGCCGTTGCCCCGAATTGAATCGTCAACCGCACATTATACTCCACCATCACTCAACAACACATCATCACGGCAGCGGCTCCGGCTCCGGCTCCGGCTCCGGCGAGCTCTCACAATCCGCTGGTGCTGGTGCTGCTGCTGCTGCTGCGGCGGCACATGAAAAATTCCGCAGCTACTATGAACGAGAGAGAATGTTGCAACATAAACGTTTGCTGGTGGGCGATTTCAACGATAAGAAATTCGAGCAGCTGCATCTGAAGAAGTTGATGCAACGTTTAGGCGCCGTCTATGAGGATGATTTAAATTTACAGGCTAGCGATTATGCATCATCGGCATCGTCACATAACGAAGACAACGATGCTTTGCCCAATTCACAGGAGGGCGATGAAATTGGTGAACTGAACGACAATGAATTTCCGCATACACCATCGCGTCGTAATTACTATTCGGTGGAGCCGAGTACAGCGCATATGCGGCATTCGGGTCATAATGGGCATCGTGCGAAGGATTCGTTGATCACCTTCATTGGTGGCTGTCCGAGTGGGTTGGGTGTGGAGGATGGCCATACAATTGCCGATAAGACGCGTCACTATAAGATGTGTCAACCGGTGCACAAGTTGCCCGTATGCAAGTGAGTAGTGGTGATGGAGTTCTGTATGTACATAATATTTATTTGTGTGTTTTTTTCATTGTATTTGTTTTAGACATTTCCGCGATTACACGTGGACGCTTACCACTTCAGCTGAACTAAATGTGACTGAACAAACTGTACATTGTCGTTGCCCAAAGAATTCGGTGACATATCTGACGAAACGAGAGCCGGCTACATATGGCGCGAGCGGTTATACGTACCTCTTTGCTTGTTCACCCATAACAGTAAGTGTTGAAAGAAGTACAGTTATGTGGATTTTAACTTATTTTAATTAATTCAATTTTACCTTATTTCATTTCAATTCACTTAGCTTCACTTGAAATCATTAAGTTTCATTTATCTTTATTTAGCTCATTTCAATTCTAGTAATCTTCTCTATTTACAATCTTATTTTATTTCTCTTTTCATTCAACTTATTTCAGCATAGTTTTTTTCAATTCACTTAATTTCAATATTTTATTCTCGCTTCATATTCTCACTTCCTACTCTCAATTGTTTTCATTATACATTCACCTCATTTCATTCTTTATTATATTATTTTATACAACTTCATTTTAATTCACCTCATTTCATTTCATTTTATTGCATTATTTTCACCTCACTTCATATTACTTTACCTAATCTTCTGATTTCATATTGTGGCTATTCACACTTGCCTGGTTATCAGGTTATCTGGTTAAAAAATATTCTGCAGTGTATTTTATTTTG